AAAGATTAGCTGAAGCAAAAAGTCAATTAATGGCATACGTTTAAAGTTCCAAAATTTGACAGAATTTTTAATTTATGATTAGAAAAACATTGTTGTTCTTATATCAAATTTGAAAAGGTTTTTCACCTGTGACCATTTTTCGTTAAAGTTTAAGGCTTTAAAATTTGCCAATTTGGAATAATTAGCGCGCGATATGCTTCGTGCTAATTACGGATTAACGGAGACAATCCTTCTCAGAAATCGCTGAATTGAGGGAGGCTTATTGCTCTATTTAATACTTTGGTATATGCTCAATATATCAGTTTGTACTTTATATAGCGTGTGGTGTGAGGGAAGGATTTTGAAAAAAAAACATTCTTTTTTATACAGCGAACACTAACAAAACTCCATAGAATTGAAAATGCAGTCGGAACATTAAGGGCTGTGCTCTGATATGAGCGGTCTTGTCGAACATTTTGACAATTAAAAATAATAAGTAGTAACAAATTGCCTAAGACTCGCCAGAGTAATTTTTCACATAGTCTAACTGAATAATGCTAAGTTTTGTCATGAAAGCGGCGAGTAGTAATTATGAGCTTTTATCTGAGATTTTTAAAATTTCCTGGACGTGTTTTGTTGCGTTTTAAATCCGTTTTTAGTCCTATGACTCAAAAATACAGCCAACCCTCAATGGAAAGTAAATTGGCTCGCAATTACTTGAGCTCACCCCAATTACAAAAAAGTGAGGGTATCTGTTTCACAATTAGTAGAAAACCAAGAAAATCTATAGTTTTGTTCATTTAAAAATTTATGACAAATAATGCAGATAACATGTTTCTTCATGTTATAGAAAGATCAAAATGATAGTCGGTTGCTGTGTGAATGACACAGGTTGTTCTGGCCTCCATAATAAAAACTATTTTTATTAAATAAGAAAGATTATTTCGCATTTAAATTACAAACTCGTAAGTAGATGAGACATTTGAAATTTTCTGTAATTTTAACAAATGAACTTCATTTTCGGGTGACGAATACCCAAGTTTTTCGCTATGAGCCAAATTTGAATCAGTCAATGCCAAAAAAGTTTTTTTTTACGAAAGGTTTTTGAAATCTGACTATCTGACTATCAGATGCATCGGCGTAGTTATCATACACCTTGACACCCTTCGAGTGTACATAGTTTCAGCCTACGCCATGTTTTTTTTCTAGCGGCTAGATATGTTATTTCAAATGAAACAAGGATAGCTGGACACACTTTGGGGAAAAAAACCAATTGAGAAACATTTCTTGAAGAAAATTGACCAGAAGAGAAAAACAAAAAAACTGCAAAAAAATTGTCAAATTTTTAGCTGAAGTTAATTAAATTTAGAAAATTTTGAATTAGAAACTGACGCTAAATAACTCCAAAAAACAATTTTAATTGAGTGAAGCTATATTTTAACGTCTTAAAATGAGCATAAATAAGCTATTGTAAGCCTGCACGCTGACTTTACTAGTTTGAAACTTGACCAAAAATCAAAAATTCAAACTGGTTTTTCGCTTTCGCAACCATGAGAAGTTTTTTTTTCGAAATTTTTGAATGTTGTTCAAACCACGACTAAAAGGGCTTGAATATGATATATCTATCGACCCATACCGATAATTATGTATATATTGTGGTGTATATTTTTGTGTAAAAAAAACTAAAACGCAGACAAAATTCCTCCTTATTTTTCAAAAGGTCGAAACAATTAGAATACTTCTAAAATTTCGAGCCTATTTTTTCTAACTTTGAAGTTGCTTCTTTAGTGGCTGAAAAGTAGTACCTATTGTCTAGTCGCATCTAGTCGGTTTGAGTTCTAAAACGGAGCAGCTGTGAAGTCATTAGCTTTTGCAATCTGCTAACTATCTCACGTTACAATTTATAAAATCAGGCGAAGTAAAATAGTATGATTGAAAATAGGCCAAAAACCAATTGCACTGAAAAAATGTTTAGCTTCTATTAGCTTTAAAAAAATTTAAGTTGTTCATGCAATGTTATAAGTTAACAAGGACAGCCAATCGCTGTGCAAGTAGCTCAGAAGGTTCCGACCACATTTATAAAAGAAAGCCAAAAAACAGTCGGAAAAGAGTCAATGAACGACATAAAAGTTACTGACTTCTTCTTTGAAAAATCTTAGCTTTCAAATTTTGAAAAAAAAAACATGGCTTAAAGCTCTTTGAATTCTAGAACAAATTGTGATTGACACTTTTTCTCAAAACTAATCCAATTCATAAAAACTGAATCAAACGGTTTATTTATAATTTCGCTAGGGAATCTGAAAAATAAAATATATTTTCAAATATAAGTCGATCATGTGTTTCCTGAACTTTACACTTCAGGTGTTCGATAGTGTAGTTTGCCCTACTTTCATTTAACAAAGATGAAAAGTCAAACCGCGAATATTAAAATCGAGCACTTTAGACTTTATCAGAAAAAAAAAGAAAAAACATCACGAATTTTACTATTATCGAACTACGTGCATCGACTTAAAAAGAAAAGATTTGCTTCACTTTTTTCAAATTTATTTGGTTTCTTTTTGTGGCGTCATGGGAAAATTAAGAAAAAACGACAAGCAAAAACCAAAACTCTTTAATGCTGACTAATGCTTTTCGCCAGGCAAGCGACCGACAATAGTTCTTCTGCCGCAAAACTACCTTTTTCACCACATGAATGAACTTTTTGCATAAAATCTACTTGCTCGAAGTTAGACTAGAAATCAAAACTGTTAAACCGATTTTTACTCGACACTGGGAAAGTTTTTTTTGAACTTGTTTATGCACATTGAATCTCAACTGAAAGGGCCTTAAGATTTTCAATCACTCGACCTTTTCCGATGATTATTATTGTTAACTGATTTTGCGATTTAAAAAACGAGAAATAACAAAAGCACACACGAAGCCAAAATTTCCTTCCACTTGTCAATAATCGGAACAACAAGAATATAATTGCATAGCAGCAAGTAGCAAACAAATTTCCGACCAGATACAAAAAACGTTAAAAAATTAGGCATTATCGGGTAGGGTACAGTTTTCTTCGAAAAATGAATAAACATGAGGTGGAGCAAACACTTTAATTAGGAAAAAAATCACACACGCACACTGAAACTTTTCGACTCATCAAACGACGCAAAATGAAGTCTTTAAATCATAATAACGAAAGCCGAAATCCATCCAGCCAAAAAAATAAGAAAACCGAAATTTTAACCGTTGAAATTGTTTAAAATACAACCAATACAGAGAGTAAAGTTTGAATAGGACGGATGCTTGACAAAAAAATAACATGCTCAAAACATGTCTGTCGAGTAATTCCTACAGAGGGAGAAAATTTTTAAAATTCGGTTGCAATACATTTGCTAACGCAAATTTAAAAACTAAACAAAAAAAGTAAAAAACAAGTATTTTTTTAACAAGTATAACACCTACTCACCAGCTTTGCTTGCTCAAAAATTGACCAAGCGGCAAAAATGTTTAATAGGTTTTTCTCGTCACTGAGAAAAATGTTTGGAATTTTTCAAGGTCATTCCAAATACTCATAAAGAGCTTTAACATGATATCACTCGACCCATGCAACTGATTATTGTAGCACGATTTTGCAAAAAAGCTAAAGCATACCCGGAGACAACAATCCTTCTATTATCAGTGTTCTGAACAAAAACAACAATCCGAAAGCAAAGTTCATACCCACGTTCAGTGATAGGACTAAAAAAACTAAAGCACACAACGAAACAATAATCTTCCAATTTTATTGGTCGGAACAAAAAAACAATCTACAGCAACCGTTCATCTCAACTTTCAGTAGTCAGAAATTTTTTTTTTAAAACACTCGAAAATAAAGTTAATCCCATCTTTCAGCGGTTAGAACAAAAAACAACCTAAAACAACCGAAGACAAAGTTGATATCCACCTTCAGTCGTCCGGGTAAAAACCAAATACACCCATACACAAAGTTTCTAGGTTGGAACAATAAATCACCAACACTCGGAGAAAAAGTTTTTCCACACTTTCAGCGGTCGAAACAAAAATCTAAAACATTTGAAGACAAAATTCATCTTTACTTTCAGTGGTCGGAACAACGCATTAATTCAATAAGTATTACTGTTAAAAACCAAGTTATTACGACCACAGAATACACAGAATTACTCTTTGATTCAGTTAAAACTCTTTCTATATACTTCCTCAAAAGTCCGCACTTTCTTGGCTATACGATGATTTCGGGACACTTGAAAGAATTTATTGTAAAATACAATTGAAATTTAGAATTAGTCATTAAAGGTAAAGATCAAAATGCACTCCATTGCAAGAAATGAATAGACTACAAACTGAGCGTATAGAACATTGATCTCATATCCCCTCTCTTGATTCTGCCTTCAGCTCTAGATTTACAAATATCAAATATTTTTCATACATCTACAAAAAAAATCTAACATTAACGCCTTTGTTTTGGTTGTAATGGTCGTCCGATCGTTACTTAGATGCTTTTGGAAATTTAAGTTTTACGGTGAGGAGATACTTCGAACGTGTGATATTTTCAAACCAAATTAACCAGAATCTGATCGTAACTTTTCCTATTTGCAGATTATATGACGTTTAGAACTTCATAAAAAACTGAAAACGTCATTAATCTATATGAAATGGTGCGTATAAAAGTAGAAATTTACTACACTACTACTCAAATTTATGAATTCTGCTCAAATTTTTAAATCACAATTCAATTCAAAATATCAGAAAAATATTCACACGTGAAACAAATTTGAAACAAACTGAAAAGCGCAGTTATAAAAAGATAGACAAGTTTATTTTCTACACCGAGGAATGCATCTATTCTGTTATCACTGATATGTTTCAATTTCGAAGCATGATGAATAAACAAACTTAAGTAAAATATTAATGTCTGTTGATTGCTCATTTCCGCAAAATATGTCATATATTTTATTCAAAACCTTTTTTTTCAAGAAAGCCATTTTTAGAATTCATCTCATTGACAAAAATGGCCTATCGAGCTACTTTTCTGTTAAAACAAACCAAAAAATGACCGAAAGCAGAGCTTACTAAGAGCCTTCAAGTTTCAGATCCTTGTTCAAGAGATCAAAATCGATGAATTCTAAATCGCGTTTTGAGCATGAATTTTGAGTACGATCACTTGACTTCAAATATGGCTCTATTTAATCTCGGTTGGACTCAATTTGACCGAATTGACATAAGCTAATTTTGTATCAATTGTTTTGCTACATCTAAGGTCATGCTTGTCACACAAAGGGCCTTCAAACAAAGAGATTATCCAACCTGATTGAAATCCACTTTTCGGTCAAGGGTCTATTTTCCACTTAGATATTCAATTGATTTTTGCTTAATCGAAGCAAGAAAAGCAACCAACAGCGATTAATTGAAATAAAAGCTTCTAGCGATTTAAGTAAGCTCTATATCTAGAATGTGTACAAGGTTTACCATGAAGACACGGATTTCAGCAGAAAAATAATCGAATTCACAGCAAATTCGAGCAAAAATTTCTTCAGGGGAGCTATAAATTATATTTTAATGGCACATTTTTAAGACATTTATCATCGGAATTGTGAAATCAAATTCATTTATTGAAATTAAAATTTAATGCAATGTGCACAGGTTTATTTTACAGTTCGATGAAACTCAAACTGTCACAGCATCACCGAATTATCATAGAGCATAATTCCGAATACAAAACAAAGAGAACAAAATTTCTTTAAATAGTTGGTGATAACAAACTAAACCGAAAGAAAAACTTGAATACTCAAAAGCTGACTAGAAAAGTTTAGTTTGAAACTCATTTCCTTTTTACAGCCTCAAAATTTCGAACCAGCTCTACGAGACATTCTGGATTGAGTGGCTGTGATACGAAAGGATGGCTCAGTAACTCCAGGGCTGTGGCTCTCTGCTCCGGGTTATGCACCAGACATCTATCCAGGAAAGACCTCAGTCTAACCGAGCTCTTCTGTGGATTCTTCAATTTTGCCGGAGGCTGATCTCTTATAAATTTCAGAGCCTGAATTGGTGGATATGTGAAGTACGGCGGCTGTCTCTCTACCATTTCAATTAAGAGAATGCCCAACGACCAAATGTCCACTTCTTGGCCATACGGTGCACGGCAAATGAGTTCCGGTGCCATCCAATAAGGTGTCCCGACAAGCGAACGACGCCTCGGAACCTCATTGGACACCTCAGCACAGAAACCGAAATCCGACAACTTTACTTGTCCGTTTCTTGCCAGCAAAATTGAATCACTTTTCACGTCTCTGTGAATAATTCCTCGTGAATGTAGATAAGCTAGAGCAGTTAAGCAACTTTTGCAAATTAAGGCGATTTGCTCTTCTGTTATTATAATCCTATCACACGTCACGTATTGCGTCAGAGAACCTCCGTTTAAGTATTCCATTATTACCCATAGTTCGTCATTAACCATGTAACTGTCAAAAGACTCCACAATATTAGGATGCTTCGCGTCTTTGAGGATCATCACTTCGTTAAATAACAACTCGCGTCTCTGTTGCTTATCAATGTTCATCTGTTTGACAGCAACAACACGGCCGTTCGACCTTAAGTCGGTAGCCGTACAAACAACACCTGTTGATCCTTCATCAATTTTATCAATATGGGTCAAGAACGTTCTCGGATCGCCAGGCGTCACTTGCATTTGGAGGTAGTATCTGAACTGATCAGTGGAGACTTTCACCGAGGGCTGACTGGTCGTTATATTATTGTTATTATTTACAGTATTACTCGAAATTTGGGTTTGGGTATGAGGTGCACTTTGATATGGAGGGGGTGAGTAAGGTTTGGCGGCAGCCTTCGTAAAACTCGTCCTTGAATCAGGAGTTGTAACTTTGGTCTGCCCAGGTACAGCACAGTCAACTTCGTCTTCATTGGATAAATTCTCACTCGATTTTGACGTCGTCATTTGGGCTAGTGGAGTCTGAATAAGTCCATTGATTCTCAGACCATTCTTTAAGTGGTTCTGAGAATCAAACGAAGCTCCTTTTGACAGACCCATTTTTTCTGACAAACTCGGACTTGTGTTATCAGTATCCGAGGACAGAGAACTCATTTTCTTCGGCACTGGAGGTGGCGGTCCTTTCGAACTCGAACTGCTTGAAACATGATCGGGTGATTTCGGGAACGCCTGTACATTCGGATTGAACCGAATACTCGTCTCACTTCGGTTTGACTCCGACTCTCGGTCGAAACTATAACCCGTACTCGGATTTGAAGTCGGCATTCCTCGGTTCGCCGACTCTCGCGACTTACTGCGACTTGAGATTGCTGGTTTCTTAACTGTACTGTTCGTTACTCGCTCGTCTGTGTAAGGGGGAACTTTCACAACTGGTTTTAAACTGATATTTTGTTGATAGGGAATCAAGGGCGCTAGAGGAGCTTGATTATTTAAACTTGAACTAGGCGAGTGTCTTGCGATGTTTTTCTGCGACACTGCAAGTCTCATTTCATCATTTAACTGGTCTTGAAGTTGCGGCCCATTGGACGAAATGTTCTGACTTCGGCTGATCGCATCGGCGTAATCTGGTGGTGAAGTGGCCGAGATATCGCTTGGTTTTCGCACCTCACGCAACTGCGATTTCCGCGAATTATCGTTATCAACTTGCAATTCTAACTGTTGCGAATTCCCATACATGTTACTGACGACCCGATTCGGGTTTCGGCCACGTTGTAGAGTTGCGAATCCATTGACCATGGAATGATCAAAGTTACTCGGCTGAGGTGGAAACTGTTTGTTGAAACCGTTCGGCGATTCCGGTGAATGCATTAAGGCTGATTCGTGAACTGAATGGGTTCTCGCCCTGTTGTGATTATTCGACCTGAGTCGATCTGCGTTTTTTCTATTCTCTACTGTTGCCGTAAACCCAGTGTTTTGCAGATTATTCTGGAACTTTCTTACTGACCCTGGCGTCATAGATTGCTGTTGGTACGCGGAGCGAGGTCTTCTGGAAAATTCAGGCTCCGGGTTATTTTGAAACTGTGACTGCTGGATTCTGTTGACGGACATCGACTGTGGAATGCCGCGTTGGATTCCATTTCCAGGATGGTTTTGATATTCAAAATCCTATAAAAGAATCCCAAATTACGCAAACGTGCGGAACTTGACATGTTTTTGGTTTACGTACTGTTAAAAATCACGAAAAAATATTTAAACATTTTGGTTAATTGCTAGTTTTTCTACTTCAAAGAGCACGCAAACAATTACAATCCTTATATTATCTTCGATCACAAAACACATAAAATACACAAGTAGCTACAACTTGGTGATCAGGTGCGAAACATAGTTTTTATTCACATCGAAAGTTTGTTCACAGTCCACCTCAATGGTCTATCGTTTCAGTGACGTTTTTTTGAGTCAATTAGTCATCAATTAGTTAAACTAACACGTAATCTTTTGATCAAAATAAAATTTAACCAAATTTTGACCGATTAAAATGTGAATCGAGTTCGGCGCAATTAAAGGTTGACTAAGGCTTAATAAGGTCAAGCTTGTTTTAATGAACATATATTTATAATTTCATATGAGCCAAACCCATAGATAGGAAATAAAGTACTTTTGCTAAAATACACGCCAAAAATCAAGATACTTATTTGTGCTCTGACAAGAGAAAACTTGTATTAATTCGGGACAATTCAGGCACTAAAATTTCAACCGAACAACTTACCGGTTGATATCCGTTCATCTGCATGTTGTTCATTTCGTTACTAAGACTGTAGAACCCGCTGTCTGTTTTGTTGGTGGGACTGCCAACATTGAACTTCGGTTCTGCTGTTTTGGGTCTGAAGCCATTCACATAGTTGGTGTTGTTGTTATTGTTTAATCTGATTCTGTCTGCATCCGAATTCGCTTGGGGGTACATGTAGTTAGGTGATACTGTTTTTCTTTGAGGCATAGGCGCTGGTTGCGATACTAGTGGTCGTTCAAGGCCCATTGCAAACTTCCCGTATGAAGGGTCGTTTGCAAGTTTCGCCTGTTGATTTCGGTTTGCATTGTATCCTCCTACTGAACGTGTTGGGTAAAACATTGCGTTTGTTTGCTCGTCAAATTCTTCTTCAGGTAAACGAGCTAGAGTCTGTTGCGGCTGTGATTGGTTCAGATGATGTTTTTGATCTTCGCCATAACTCTGATTTAGATGTCCATTTTCCTGCGCTTCAACTATCGGAGCTTCACGTGTTCGAACTATCTTCGTGTTGTGAGCATTGATCGCCGCTCTCAAGGAATTGCTTCTTGCGACTGATATGTAGCCAGGTTGACGCAAAGTAGAGTTTTTACCCACAACTATGGTTTTTACGGGTTGCACTATTTCACATGGTGTAATTTGTGAAGGATCAGCGAAGCCTTGTCGTCTATTTGATGAGTCATGGGTGATGGGGGCATTGTCTATTATTTGATTCCATTCCTTCGGCAAACCGATGAAGGTCTTTGTGTTTCTGTCTTCTTTCACAGCCACCCGTTGCTCAAAATTGAACGGCTGCGAAATGTTGGGTCTCTTCTCTTTCTTCTTTTTGAACATTTTGCTCACTCAGATTTCTTTCTTCAGCAGTCGCAATAAATGATTTTCACTTTGCATCAAGATGCAGTATCACCAATATATACATTTTAGAAACTGAAAAAAATAATCTGTCCGATTGTTGCAGCGGGTGCTCAAAATTATCGCCGTCAATCTTCAGGCGAATATCACAAGACAGAGGAAAGAGTAAGTTAGGCAATTACCAATAAATCTCAAAAAATAGCGGTAATAGGTTCTCTGTTTTGACAAGACAAATTAAGCTCACCTGCAAATCTTTCAACAAAATAAGCAAACAAGGGGGACGGTTGCCGTTTTATTGCAAACGGATCACACAATTTCTTTAACTTAGGTATTATGGTTCTAACTTTATAAAATTTCACTTCATTTAGTTTGAATAATCACAAAAACCTACACCAGATTAAAACGCCTTAAACTTGAACAGGTATCTAGCCCGTTACTGCGCAAATGGCCAAATTCCGACGACCATATCGATTGTTTTCAAAGCGCTCGTCTTAATTTTCAACAAAAATTCAGACTATCGCGACTAATTTTCAGACTATAGCAATTTATTTTCAAACTATCGCGTCTAATTTTCAGACTATGGCAACTTATTGTTTTCACACTATGGCAGACTATCGCGACTGACTTAGACTATCGCGATAAGTTGTCAGAATAAGTCGCGACATTTTTTTTTACAGTATCGCGATTATTTCAAGACTATAACGACTGATTTAAAGAATTGATCGCAATTAAATTCCAGATGATCGAAATCTGACCATCGACATCAGATATTTCCAGACTTGGTCCGCATCTGAAAAATGCCGTTCAGACTATGAAACTTTGGTCGCCGAATAGTATCTGGGCGACCATCAAAGTCTGGAAATAACTAGCGTACCCCGACCTGAGCTGCAACAAATTCGTTGTCAAGACTGGTTTAAAAAGCCTCCATCCGTGTGCAATGAAAAACTAAGAAATTATTCAGCAAAAATTAAAACGGTGGCGTGTCACGAAGGCGAATACCCGAAAAAAAAATTCGTTCCCGGATAGCCGAAAAATAAATTAGTTCCCGGATAGCCGAAAAATAAATTCGTTCCCGGATAGCCGAAAAATAAATTCGTTAGCCAACAATAAATTCGTTAGCCGAAATAAAAAGCCGAAAATTTAAATCTACTTAACAATTACCCCCCCCCCCCTACCAATTTCTTAATATGGGGGAGATGCGTTGTTAGGTACCATAGGGGGGATAGTGAAGGAGATCCTACGACCTTACTTAGAAAAAACATTGTTTTCTTATTTGGGGTCCTTTATCTCTAACCCAATCCCCAAACTTAGTCCATCCATTCTTCATTCCCCTCCTCCCAAATACCCCCCCCCCCGCGACAACAAAGAAAATAAAGTATACAGGGCCCCCAAATTTAAACCGGAGGTATTTAATTTTTCGGCTACCCGGGAATGCGGCGCCATGGGTACGCAACATTAAAACTAGCAGTCCTACTGCAGCTAAATCTTCGTCTAAACAAATACTTAGCGTATACTTTTATAAGGAACACAGCCAAGAGACAGTTGGAAAAGCTAACAGAACAAGGAAACCGAAAAAAAACTGATTGAAATGTTATGAAACCTTTTTAACTATCGAATTTCAAAGCAAAATATAACAATTTGAAGCTCTTGGAATACTGTTAAATTCTCTCATAAGTTAATATATAACTGAGTTTAACTTTTGAAGTTAAAATCATGGCCTAAACAAAAAAGCAGGGTAAACACAGAGGCGAAGCGGAGCTTCGCAACTGTGTTCAATAAGAAGAAAAATATTTCGTTACAAAATGAAGAATAGAAAATAGAGACGGAAATAGGATTTTTTCCTAAAACTAAATTTATAAAAAGCTTCGAAAGATAACTTAAAAATTTTTTAATTAGCGGGCGGCAACTGAGACCAAAAAACACTTATCGGCCATGTTAATGCTGCATAGCATTAAAAAAGACATAGGCCTACGCTGCTTCGGCTATTTGAACATACAAATAAAAGCGGCTAAATATCGATTTGTAATAAAAATATCTGTTTGAAGTAATGTGAAAAGATAGCTTTTCATTAATAAATCAGGCTTTAAAACATGAACAAGCCCTTATATTGTCAAAGCGCGTGAACACAAGCTGCAACTTTTGTGCAGCTCATTGGTGTTGAAAACTGCGTTTTAACACGAACTTTTTGTTTCAGACTCTTACGAAGTTACCGAATCTCTTTTCTTATAATCACTAGATTTCGCGAGAAGATTTTGGAGCCTCGATTCGGCAACGATTCGTTCTCCGTTTCCTTCAAATGGGAATTCATGAGTTTATAAGAACTTTAAAACTTTACTTCAATTAAATTCGCTAATATTGTCTATCATCAGGATTATTAAACAAAATTACAATAGATCTGGAAAAAATACAAACATGTCTACAAAATGTTCTAAAAACTTGACTAATCGAAAGTAATTAAATGTAACATTTCCTTCAGAACATCGTTCACTCAAGTTGAGTCGGTCACTCAAATCAATATGATTTTAAGAAAATGGGCCTTAAGACCATCGGCTTAAGCGAAAGGGATACTATGTTTTGTACCTCAATCAGTCGGTCCAAGTTCACCATTCGCTTATGACATGGATAAAAAGGCCACAAACAAAATAGCCCCTAGATAAAAAAGGTACGCCCACATGGCTAGGTCTCTACATACCTAAAACACGCGAACGTCATTGAAAACAGAGCAGGTACTTGAAGTAATCACCCTTAGTATTTATTGGACATTAATAATTTGGTTCATTTCAGATAGATCAACCTAAAACTGGCCTAACCTCAGCATAATTAGAAAAAATGCTATCAATTAACTAAACACAGATGCTCACATCTGTAGTAGTAGTAGTAGTTATGAGGATTTGTGCCCTATTGGACACAGGGATTTGCTCCCTTTTTGTCTGTGGTTTTTGTCATATTCTCCAAGTGCTGCTGACAATATCATTGTAGTTTGTCGTCATTTATGGACAACAGTTCTGGAACTAACTGCAAACACGATTATATAATACAACTATGACTCAAGAATTTTTTTTCAAGCATAACTTATAACAATAATAATAAGTATAATAATAATAAAACAGAATTTAGGATACATCCATGGGAGTTATGGGCACCGACCCGACTACCCTGCACATCGATATTAGAAAATTCTGGAAGTGGTGTGAAACCAATGAAATGCGCCTCAATATGACCAAGAGCAAAACACTAGTAATTAAGGGCGAGTGCAACCTAAGTATATTCTCGTACAAATTCGAACAGCCTAACGAACTTAAAGATCTTGGAATGATAATGTCAAAAAATCTTAACTGGACTTCTCATGCAAACAATCGTGCGAGCAGAGCACTGAAGGCCCTATACTGCATCAAAAGAAACTTATCACCTGCCACAACCATGAACAACAGGAAAAATGCATATAAAAGCTATGTAGTAACTATCCTTAGCTATGCATCATCAGTCTGGAAACCCTCAAAGCAAGATCTTGCCACCTTAGAAAAAGTGCAACAGAGAGCAACGAAATGGATACTTGGAAATAAACAAATTCCTTATAAATCGAGGTTAACCACTCTTCAAATTCTTCCCTTGTTTCTTTACCAAGAAATGCCTGTACTACTTTTGTTCGCGAACATTCTAAGAGGAAAGACCGACCTGGAATGGTGGCGATTTATAGAAATCACTGAATCAAATCGACCGAAAACAACAAGACGTTTCAACGCGAAGAACTTTCGACTTCATATATGCGAATCTGATTTCTGGCAACGCGCCTGCAGCCTGACAAACATATTTCACAACCACCTGAAATATGAAGTCCTATTAAGTGACTCGTTTAAACCAAAAACATCAAGAGTGTACTGCCAATTCTACGAGAAAATCTACAATGAAGTCGATACCTGCACCTGGAGAATCAACTGCGGATGCACAAGATGCTTAAACTTCAAAAAATTAAACTCATTAAACTAAAGTATCATTGATCTGTAACATTCGCCCAAATACTACACAGCGACGGAGCGTAGGAAAAGTACCTATTAACGACTGGCAGGCGTCAGTTACCTTAATCCTACTCGCTTTTCACCGTCTCGACCTTGCCGGTTGATTTTCTGGTCTGTCTAGGGCAAAGTAAAAAGTTACCATTTTTAGGCCATCAGTCAAACGACTTTTGATCAGCTTTCGTTTACATGCGAACACAACCACATAGCTGATTCTCGGATCCTCAGACTACGTGATTGTCATTAAAAACACGGCTCGAACAACCTATTTTAACATGTTTTTGTGTGACAGTTCTATATTAAATCCATTGGAGATGGATTGACCCTTTCCTCTTTCTAGCTACTCATATTCTGAAATATCAAACAATAACGGTGTTAATTAAGAGATCTATGACATTCAGGTAGCTACAAAGTTGATTCTATACAGTCCCTTCACATAAACAGTCTCTGGGGGGTCAAGCCTCCGCTCCCGTGATATTCCAGCGAATAATTACGCTCTTGTCTCTTCTATTTTTCGTCTCGGGAGGGTTCCGTGGTATATTTCTTCCCCCACTGAAGCTTCCTTCTCCACTAATATCCGCTGATAACGGTCTTATCGTGCGTTGTTGCCACGATAAGAGGCTTCGTGTTTTCCGTCTCTTGTACGACTGTTTTCCACAATATCTGTCGTTCTTCTGATTTTCGTCACTTTTTGGCTCAAAATGGCCGTTTTTCGTATTTCTGAGAAATATCAACTTGAAAATCGATATTTTAAAAATAAATATTCCAGAATATTCTGACCCTCCTTTCAAGCACTTTTTTGCTGTTAAGGCCTTTTCTCTCTGATTCGTGCTTCGTCGGAAGGTTGCGCTGTGCCATCTGGCAGAATGGCACAATCTCATAAACTTGATTCGGGAGCTAACTCCCATGGATGTATCCTAAATTCTGTTTTATTATTATTATTAATATTTAATCAAGTTTATGAGATCAATCATATTTTAGTTTAATGAGTTTAGTTTTTTGAAGTTTAAGCATCTTGTGCATCCGCAGTTGATTCTCCAGGTGCAGGTATCGACTTC